AAGGCTGACAGCTGGTCAGTTTCAGTAGGCTGCTTGATAAGCCATTCCTAGTGTTATGCAAATGTCTTTAAAATGCAAATCAAAATAAGATGCATGTATGAGGCTCGAATAAAACCATGCATGATCCAAGGACAGAACATTCCAGCCTTGTTTTTTTTGGTCAAAAATGAAAATACAAATCTATCTCAAGTCATGCTGTTGTTTTCATGTCTAGTGCATGAATCGTTTTTTCCTGTAGGCTGTAGTTTACACACCTACAGTCTTCTACTTCTGAAACCTGGCACAACACTCTGCAACACACACCATCATTCTACAACAAAAACAATCACTGACCAGCAAATACCACTGCTCACCAACCAACACTATCATTCAGCAAGAAACACATTCACCAACAAAAACCTTAATTCACTAACAAACACCATCATTCAGCAAGAAACACATTGACCAACACTTTAATTTGCCAACAAACATCATCATTTACCAACAAACACAATTGTTCACCAACAAAAAATGTTAATCACAAACACATTGACCAACAAACACCATCATTCAGCAATAAACACATTCACCAAGAAACACCATAATTCACCAACAAAAACAATTTTTTAACAAACAGTTATTCACCAACAAACACAATCACTCCTCAATACTCATATCAATAATCAATAATCATTCACCAACAAACACCATAATTCACCAACAAACACCATAATTTGGCTAGACACAATTATTTACCAACACCTTAGTTCACCAACAAACACCATCATTCACCAACAAATACAATTGTTCACCAACAAAAAAACATTATTCACAGACAAACACAATCATTGACCAACAAACACCATCATTCAGCAATAAACACTTTCACCAAGAAACATCATAATTCACCAACTGCCCCATGACATTTCCCCAACTAATACTGTCATTGAACTACAAACACCATCATTCACCAACACAATCATTTACCAACAAAAAACATTATTTATCAACAAAAACATTCACCAACAATCACCACCATTCTCCACCAAACAATTATTCCCCTTCAAAAACCACCATTCACCTACAAAGTTATTCACCAACAAATACAATCACTCATTAACAAACACCATCATTCTCCACTAAACACCTTCATTCACCTTCATTAACAAACATCATTATTCTCCAAAAAACATCGTTATTATTATTATTATTATTATTATTAACACCAACACTTACCAACAAACACCATCATCTACCAACAAAAACATTATTCAACAAACACCTTAATTTACCAACACCATCATTTTCAGCCACATGCAGTCATTTTCCATCACACACCATCATTCACCAACAAACACCATCATTCCCGAAACACAAATGCTGTTCACTGAATACCTTCATTAAACACCAACATTTCCAAACAAACACAATCACCAACCATCACCAAGATTGTCCACCAAAACATCATCATTCTAGGGACTCCCAATGACTACATACAGATACAACAGAGCAAATAAGTGTGTGGGTTAATCAATGATACCTCAAGATTCTTGATCACTGTACTTAAAACTACATTAATCCTGGCATTTTTACTGCATGTAGAGGCTGGTTTTCCAGACATGACTTAGGAAACAGAACTGACAAGCCGAAGGAAGCAGTATTGAAAGAGGGAGAACATCCTAGAGCCCCCCAACAGTCACACACAGGGGGGTTTGTAGGAGAATGTTCGGACTATGTTGTGTCCATGCTGTGGGAATAATGGATGGAGGTGTAGTGCAGCACCTTGTCTTTGCTCTGTCTCTAATCAATAGCGTATGTCTACACAGTGTGGTGCGGCTAACCAGCTCAGCTGACTGGCTCCAGTGACTGCAGTACATGCACAGTCATCCACGGAGAAAGGATCGATTACAGGTCAAAGGTCACAAATCAGTGCTCATAATTCACTGTGGTAATGTCTGCAGGAGCAGAGAAGAGTGGCCGGCATGTTTAATTGTGTAATAACTACTGACACACTTAATAGCTTTATAGCATTTTAGTGAACTCTTGTAGTAAATGCTGAATGCATTACAAAAAAACAATTTGTGGTTTTCACAGTGGTTTGGTGTGAAATGGTTGATTACAGAGACTCAGCTTTCTTTACGGTGGTGTGATAGGAACCAGGGGTCACAATGTCTACAACACAATACAGCCATTTTATTCACAATCTAAAACAAGCAGTGAATCTACAGCAGAGTCTTCTGAGTTTTTATATGCAAGGTTAATGAAGGTAAAATACCAGTAAATCTGTGAAAACATGTGTCTTGCTTGTAGCCCTCTGCCATGAATAGATTTAAAAATATATCTGTTTTATGCCCAAGTCTACAGAGCCCTGCTGGTGACATCCCATATAAATAAAAATAATGTGTGGCCATGACTTAGTAAGGTGTAGGAACAAGATATTTAAGTCGTGGCCACGACTTAGTAAGATGTGCGAACTAGATCCTAATGAGTGGCCACAACTTATTTATATGGAATGTCACCAGCAGGGCTCAGTACAAATCTTCTCAAAAGTCTCATAAAACAATTTCTCAGGCATCAGGCCGCACATTCGTGACCACTATCACCACCACTGTGAACAAGTCGGACTCTGAAAGTTTTCCTAGAATGTGAAACATTTCAAACCACTCTGGAAGACTTTATTTACCTTTTAATGATTTAATTATACAGAAATTTGGAAAAATAGGTGGAATTCTCTTGCAGCGTGATCATTTCTGGCTTGTTTGACATACTAATATTTATAAAAATGGACAAAAGTATGAACAAAATTTAGGCATCTAGGAAGGAGCTCCTTGCTTTTAGCTACTGCACTGAAAAAAAGTGGACTGACTTCACTCAAATTCATACATCAGTTACACATGAATAAAATATGTTACATCAACACTTTTTTTCTTTCAGTTTACTCACTTAGTCACTCACTCTTGATGTGATATATTTTATTCATGTGGAACTGATGAACACATTTGAATCGAGTAAAGTCAGTGCATCTTTCCTCAGTGTGCTAATGTTTTTAGCAATGTAATGTGCCTTTGTCCATAGATAGTATGTTGTACAGAACCAGAAACCATACAAGCAAGTCCATGTGAGATGATGGAAACACTCAACATGGTCTGAAGCAAGTATTTGATGATCCAGCACAGTTTTCATGAAGCTAAGTGGGCTATAAGCTTCCATTACTTCTTAGCTGCATTAGCCTCATAGCTCCAGTGCTAAAACTAAAGAAACATTTAGGCGTTCTAGGAAGGAGCTCCTTGCTCTTAGCTACTGCGCTGAAAAAAAATGGACTGACTTTACTTAATTATTCGTATATCAGTTCCACATGAATAAAATACGTCACATCACAAGAAGCTAATGTGGACTATAAGCTTCCACTACTTGTTAGCTACATTAGCTTTGTAGTTAAACTTAAGACGTCTTGGCTGATCCACTACATTTGGGTTAAGGGGAAAAGTGGGCACATTTGATTTTTCGCCAAACTACTCCTTTAAGACTAAACAGGAGGACTGGTTGCTGGCATGCTAGCAGCACGCAGGACTTCTGTGTGTCCAGCCCTCTCTCAAGGGCAGCGCTCTCCACAGTGAACAGACACTTATTCTGCGCATAATCACAGGCTGTGCTAAGAGAAGAGGGCGGAGGGCAGGGGAGCCGTGTTTGTCTGCTTAAAGTGTGATCTGGATAATAACGTTTTCATCAAAGGCAGCAATTACGCTCATTAAGCCTGGCTGTGGCGTGCTAGTTTAGGGAATCGAGTGGCAGGGGCCAGTGAAAGGCCCCTAATCCATTCTGTTCTTTATTCTCTCACTCTGTCCTTCTTTTCAGACGGCTCGTGTAGGGGTGGAGACCAGGGCTCCATGTATAGCTTCAGAATTAATGATGCTTTCTCTCTAAGCCTTCTCCACTGAAATGATGTAGCACACAGAGCTTCAGAGGAGCGTTACTATAGCTACACTTTCCAAGGAGTGATATCTTTTCTTGAGCTGCAGCAGTGCCCCATGCTGTGTGAACAGAGAACACTCTACAGCCACTGCGGTGGCCTCTAATAGGCACCGGGCAGACTCCAAATTAATTCCTCGTTGCTTTTCACATGTTAATGATTTGTTTTGTGCAGCGCAAAAGTGCAAACAGGCTGATGAATGAAGCGGTTTAGCGGAGACACATGCTTTTGAGCCCAGCGTGTTTAAATGAGAATCAGATTAAGAGAATAAGCTCATAGGCTCCTGCAGCAACAGGTGCATTGTGGAAGTAAATAGGAAAAAGAGAATTGGAGACAGAAAGAGAAGCAGATTGCAGAAACAGTTGGCTATCAATGCACTCATATGATCTGATAGATTTCACTTAGTTTTTTCTTATATAGCACTGCGTTGAAGTCAGAGACCACTCTTTATTTATTTAATGTCCAGTCAAAACAACTATTAAGAATTGAGTGTTCTGCATCTAAGTGTGCCACTCTTTACCTTTATTCCAGCTTCCACTCTTTTCAGGAGACTCACTTTCACAAGAAAAAAACTTTAAAAGGTATTACTGAATGAGGCCCATTATTTACATCCTACACCAAACTTTTTTATGGTAAAGAAAATTCAGTTTTCCATGATATGGCCCTTTAATCCCCTCACAGTCTGCGAAACTCACAAGATCTGGGGGTCGATTTCCAGAACTGGGTATAAGCCTAAACTTGGACTATGTTTTCCTTTAAATAGAACATCTCTGGACTGCCATGTAGTCCAGCCAGGGCTAGGCTTACTACCCTTATCCAGAATGTTCTATGTAGGTAATGAACTGTAATTTTTCACTCTTCAGTTCTCTCTCTGCCCGTCTGTATTATGGGGTATTGACTCTTTCTTTGCCTGGATATTGTGGGACATTTAAGGAACATTTCAATTGAAGTTCCCTCATTATGGCCAAATCTTAACAGAATCTCGCTAAGTTAATCTTCAACCTCATCCTGAAAGATGTGCAGGTGTGTGTTTTGAGTGCTCTGGGCTTACCAACATCCACATGTTCAGGTGGTGCCTGTCTCGAGACCCAAATATTCAGTTCTTTATGTTCATCATTTTCCAGTATTTCCCTTTATTCCAGCTTTCAGCTCCTCAAAGAATCTGCAGACACACCTCCAAGTTCAGTCTTAGAAGCTGGTTGATCATTTTCTGAAGTAATCAAACACATTCAGTGGTGTTGAGGTCTGGACTCTGGGGTGGTCAGTCCATCGTTCAGCTTCTTTGTTTGATGTGTCCGTCTCCTTTTCTCAGTGAGGTTCTTCTTGATCAGCTACACATCCTTTCAGACCCACAGCGCTGAGTCGTCTTCTCACAGTGGAAGGATGGACAGAAACACCTGTGGATGTTTTCAGATCTGATCAGCTTGATTTTCTCCTCTCTCTCAGAGATGAAAGCTTTAAGTGCTGTTTATCTGATGGGGGCAGTTTTGGGGTCTACCAGCTCTTCCAGGTGGTTGTTAGGGTCTCATTTTCTCTGGAGCTTTTAATACTGGAAACTCCTGCTTTTTCATTTCTCCAGTTCAAGATCTGGAGGGCTTGAGATACGATTTTGTCCTCAAATGCAGTTTTTCGTAAGGTAAAATATTACCCCAAAAAACGTTTGTTTTTAGATTCTCCATTATTTTACCATCGTCAGTAGATATAAAAACTCAGAAGACTTGTGTAGGTTAACTGGTGTTTTTTTTATAGTAAATAAAATGGCTATATTTGTGTTGTAGACATGGTGACCCCTGGAAACCATCAGGGCTTTCAAGGCGTAATTTTTACTGCCACTACCTCAGCCCAAGTTTACTACAATTTCATATTAGTCCAGTACAGTTTGATATGTAAGCTGCTCAAATAAATCTGATTCAAGCATTCGGTTACCAGGTTTAGTTAGTGCGGGAGTAAGGAAGTAGTACTGTGCTGGTGCTAGAGATACAACTTGTAACTTTCTGACAGTGTAAGAGACACTGTTATATACAAAAATGGATAAACGTTCATTGCATTGCTAAAAAAACAGTAGCAGCAGCTAACTTGAAGTGAACTTTTAGATAACAGTGTGCCATACACTGACAAAAACACATAAGCAAGTCTACTAGAGATTACTTAAGGGAAATTCCACTATTTTTTGAAAATGTCTATAATACAATCATTATGATGTAAAGTCATTCAGGGTGGTTTGATGTGAAATGCACTTTTCTAGAAACCGTGTCAGTTCACAGTGGTGGTGATGGGAACCAGATGTCCGAAGAGTTTAATGCCCCTAAAAGCTATGTAACAAAAAGTTATTATATGAAATCTTTATAAAATATGCTGCCTGATGCCTCAAACATTGTTTTACAATAGTTTTGAGATAAGATTTTGTTCTCAAAGGTTGCAGGTTGTTGTGGGGCAAAATATTACCCAAATTCATCTTTTATTTTTAGATTTACCACAATTTTTCCATCGTCAACATTACACATAAAAACCTGCATAGGTTTACTGGAGGTTTTGAAAGGTAAATAAAACCTTATTTTTTATATTTGTGTTGTAGACATTCTATATTTGTGTTGTAGACATTGTGTCCCCTGGTTCCTATCGCCACCACTGTAAAAACATCTGAGTCTGTAAGTTTCTCTAGAATGGAGCATTTCACACCAAACCATTCTGATTGACTTTGTTCACATTTCAATGACTGAATTGTGCAAAAAATTTGGAAAAATCAGCGTAATTCTCCTTTAACAATAGCGAGCAGTCTGCAGCTTGCACTATGCTAACTGGTGAGGTATAATCTTACCTGTTAGCTTCATTAGCATCTGAGCTTCAGTGCAAAAGTAAAGCAAATCTGAAGCATGCAAAACATGACCTTGGTTGAATTATTCTTAAAATGCAGATTGTGCGACAACAGAAATACTCAAACGTTTCTCTAGCTAGTAAAATGGCATGAGGTTCTTTTCATACATCCACTGTGCATGAATGATGAAATTGAAAGACTTTAACAGAATGGCTGGCCATGGAGATCGCAATCAAATAGCAATGGGCCTATTGGCTTCAGTGGGATCAGATTATTTACCCTCAATCTGAAACTGGAGTGCAATTAAACTAACAAAAATAATAAATGAACTGACAGGCCAACAGAAGCTATTATGATGGACTGTTCTTCCAGATCAGGTCTGTGGATAATTGTCTAAAATAGCCTAAGGTCTATGTCTGCCACCTAGTGCTCAAACGTTGCAAACACAAATTCACATCATAGAAATTATATCAAAAAAAGATGGCAAGTATTTCCAGGAATCTTATTCATGCACGGCTCACCAAGGACATCCAAACTCTCAGCAATATGGTGACAATTCAGGGATATTGGATCAGATCTGGCTGATTTTAAAAGACTTACAAGGAACTTCATTGACTGAATTTACTGTAAAACATCATTCAATCCACTATTTAATACTATTTATTTTATTTATTGAACTTGTTATCAGTTTCATCATCACAGTTATGAATTTGTTCTCAGATCAGTACAAAAACACTAGACAAACCGTATTATTTCTGTCTTACAAAGTGGAAAATAATCTCTGATCTAGCACAATCACTGGTTGTGAAACTGATTGGAGTAATTTACAAATGATCAACTCAATCTGGAGAAACATCAACAGTTTAGTTAGTTCATTGTAACGTATATGCTTTAGATTTGTCTACAGTGAGTGAGATCTGACTGAACCTGATATAAGCCCTCCACCTTCCATGCAGCTCCATGGTGCATTTACTAGGATTAGGCCAGATTATTAGTGTCTATCAGTCTTTTTCAATTATTTAAAGATGAGATAGAGAGCATTTAACAGAACAGATAACAGATGAAAAGTTAATTCATTCATTCAGGTCATTAGAAGCTGTCTGTAGTAGAGTGTTCCTCCAGATACGGTCTCAGACTAGTGAGAATTTGTCTAAAGCAGTTGCTTATGGTCTGCTTCTGCCACCTAGTGGCCAAAGCTGGCTAGGACAAGTTCTCCACCCAAGGAGTTGGATAATGGAAGATATTGCTTGTGATTGTCTTAAAGACACCAATAGTTCAGTTTTAGACACAAGTCCAAGAGTTTAGGAAAGGCCTCAATGTGCAGCTAATGATTTCCATACAGACGATTAACAGGAGAAAGGCAGCAGCACGAAAAGATGTTTATGAATCGTACTCCTGATCTATGAACTTGGCCATGGTGCTCAGCTGAATGTTTGTTGTTCCCTCATAGATGGAGCCTGTTGGAAACCACAGCATTTAATATATTAGTATATAGTTGTATTTGAGTACCAGTCCAGTGCAGTCAGAGAGATATCATCTTAGATATGGGTGGTATAGTGTAGTGGGTAACACCTCTGCCTATTATGATATATACTGGGGTTCAATCCCCTGCCTAGGCAAGCACCCTACACTATACCAACAAGAGTCCATGAGCAAGACTCCTAACACTGCCTTCACCTACCTGTGTAAAATGATCAAATTGTAAGTTGCTCTGGATAAGAGCGTCTGCCAAACGCCATAAATGTAAATCAGATTTAATCTAACCATGCCAAATGACCACGCTTTCACATATCAAAGAATACTTGGACCTGGTCACAGCTCCTCAAGCAAAGCTTTTAGAGTAGGCTAATGTAAGTAGATCTGTATTATGCATTTTTACTTTCTTTGGCTGTGACAAAAATGGCTCCATATTCACTCACTAGTACTGTGCTGTAAGGAAGAACCGTTTAGTTTTCTAAAATGCAGGAATAAATTAATTTGGACACTTTCTCATTATAAACCAGAGTAAGTTAATCACAGAAACAGGATCCTGTGCTGCTGCAAGTTGATTTCTGTTTATCTCCTGAGCACTTCGGTCATATTTTACACATTGAAGCTGCCTCTGTTTACACTTTGTACACCACATGTTTATAATTACTGGTTCTCACTCACCTATTTTGCAGTCTCTGTAGTATTTCTCGATGGGGTAGTCCTTTGTGAAGCCTACTCCCCCCATCCACTCAATGCATTTAGACGTGGTTAATGTTGCAACCTGAAGAGAGTCGATTAATGCATTAATACATGCAGCAAAACATCTTTACATTTGTTTACATGTACAGTAAATTGAGCAGTGATCTATTACTAAGTTGAAGAGAACAGCCATGAAATATAAACCCAAGCTTGTTTTTTTGGTAGGAACACACTCATGCTGATGAAGGGCTTGATTTGTTCCCTGTCCCTGTCCTGGGGATCTGTTCTCTGCACAGTTTTTGTGTTTTTCCTTCTCTAACACACCTAATTTAACTTATCAGCTACTGGCTTGTGTCGGAAAAATACAAATTTTATTACAAAACAAAAGACTGCAAAATAGCTCCTATTATTCAGGCCTCGGTTTGGTAAAAATAAGCACCAAAAATCACAAATCTTAGAATTTAAATGCAACTTCAGAAAAAAAAGTCATTTGAGCATGGGTGTGTGTGTAGCATAGGCTCTGCCCCTGTCCCATTAGGGCTGGGCAATATCGTGATAAATTATGCCACAAAATGCTTTTCTGAGTATATTGTGATATTGTCAGTACACAGACCGACTGCGTGTTTGATTACAAAAAGACCATAATTAGTCCTGTTTAAGTGTCGCACAATATGTGATGTGACATTGAATAAAAATAAGTATATTAGTTTATGACAGTATTTTTTTTTATGTGGCATTGCTGGAATTTTTTCTATGTTTGAAAAATAAAATATTGTCAAACTGTTTTGACATATTGTGATGTTATTATATAAGCCAGTTGGGATGATCACTGACCTCTGCTGCAAAGTACTTGGCCATGGAAGCCTCTTTAACGAAGGGTCGCCCCACCTCCTTCAGCCGGGCAGCGTTATAGGTCAGCAGTCTGGCTGCCTCCAGCTGAGTGGCCACATGGGCAATCTGATACTGCAATCCCTGACAATAAAACAGCAGATACAGCACAAATGTTACTAGGCTGTTATTGTAATATTAATTTGGAGAGACTTTCTTCTAAATCAGTGTTACCTGGAAGTCAAAGATGCGTTTACCGAACTGCATTCTCTGCCTGGTGTAGGGAACAGCATGATCAAAACAGCCCTGAGCCAAACCCAGCATCTAAAAATATACAGAGAAATTAAATAAAATGATGGTGGTTTTCCTCAAAACACAACTTTAAGGAGAATTCCACCAATTTTTTAACATTTCTAAATAATTAAATAGTCAAGATATACACTAAGTCATTCAGTCATTCAAATGCTCTGTTGAAAAGAAATGGTCTATGATAGGAACCAGATGTCCAAAGAATTGAATGGCCCTAAAAAGCTCTCTCACAGTAAGTTATTACATAAGATGGCATGAATATGTTGCCTGATGCCTGAAACATTGTTTTATGATAGCTTTGGGTTTTGGCATAAAATGTATTTTTTAACCCATTCATGGTGGAGCGGTATAGGCAGGGTGTTGAGTTGCAAAATAGTACCAAAAGAAGGCTTATTTTTTCAGATTTTTCACTAATTTTCACTTTTCGCCACCTCTTCATGGATGGCAGCTCACCACTTGAAGCTCAATCCTAGCAAAACTGAGCTGCTATTCATCCCTGCAACTACAGGTCCTCATCATGATCTCACCACCTCATTCAAGAACTCTTTGGTTGTTCTGTTTGAAGATGCAAGAAGTCTTGGTGTGATTCTGGATGACCAGTTATCGTTCTCAGCTCATATTGTCCTGTACAACATCCAAAGCATTCGAACCTTCCTCACTCGAGAGGCCACCCAGGTGCTCATTCAGTCTCTTTGCCATCTTATAGCTTGACTACTGCAACTAACTCTTGGCTGGTCTTCCTATGTGGCCATCAAGCCTCTGCAACTTATCCAGAATGTAGCAGCACAGCTCGTCTTCAGTCTTCCTGTGTTCAATCACGTCACTCCACTGCTGCGCTCCCTTCACTGGCTTCCTGTAGCTGCATAAGACTGGACCAAAAGCCCTTTGAGATTCGAGTACAGCTCGGCTTGACCCGCCATCCTTCAAGACACACGGAAGACAAGCATCAAGACTTTTCTCTGTCCTGGAGTCCACGTGGCGGAACGAACTCCCACTGGCTGGCTGAACAGCAGAGTCTCTCGCGGTCTTCAAACGCAGACTGAAGACCATCTCTTTATACAGCACTTAAATGAGCACTGAGTTTAGTATTCATTGTAATGTATTGTGCTGCACTTATTGAAATGTACTGCACTGCTCTGTGTTTAATTCTGTTCCTTTTTCTCTCTGTATCAACATGGGCTTTTGTTTCTAGCAGTATCTGAGCTCAGGACTGGCTTTCTCTCACTTAGCTATTTGTAACTAGCAAAGATACTTTCTCTGCGTAGACAACAACATTTTTGCAAGTCACCCTGAATAAGACCGTCTGCTAAATGCCATAAATGTAAAGGTAAATTTTACCATCATCAACATTCCGTATAAAGCTCAGAAGACACGTGTAGATTCACAGGTGGTTTTGGATGGTAAATAAAATGGCTATATTTGTATTTTAGACAGTGTGACTCCTGGTTCCTATCACCACCACTGTAAAGGAAGTTGGGCCAGTAAGTTTCTCTACAGTTAACCATTTCACGTCAAACCACTCTGAATGAGTGCATACATCTGAATGATGGAATTATGCAGAAATTTTGAAAAATCAGTGGAATTGCCCTTCAAGGGTTCCTACTGGACAGTCCTCAATTTGGGCTTAAACGACCCAGCTTTTCTTAGTTCTTTACTCGCGCCTTACTCCCCTGATAAATCAAGAACAGTATAATCTTAAATAAAACCAAAATTCATCAACCATACAATTGCATGTTGAAGTGCAAAGTCTGTATATGCTGACGTTTGTTTGACTGAATGGAAGTGCATGTCATAATTAAATTACAATCATACAACAATTAAATTAGGATCACAAAATCATTTCTGAGCGCTGTACCTGTGCTGCAATGCCAATTCTGCCCTCGTTCAGCACACTAATGGCATATTGGTAGCCATGCCCAATTTTACCCAAGATATTCTTCCCATGTACCTGTTAGAATTAAAGATGATGTCTTAGTTTAAATATTGAACTCCAATAGTGGTAATTTGCTTACAGTGTGCATGTCTGTACCTTGACATTGTCAAAGTTAACTTCACAGGTGGAAGAGGCTCTCAGGCCCAGCTTGTTCTCCTTCTTTCCAACCTCAAGCCCCTCCGTGTCCCGGTCCACGATGAAACATGTGATGCCCCTGTAGCCCTGTCAATCAAACACAATCCAGTGAGTATCAGAGCTATCACACAGAAATAGTAGCAGTAATAATAATAATAATTCTATTTACATGCACATTTAGAGATATATACAAATAGATTTAGAGGGAAAAAACACAGACTATTGGGCAAAAAATTAGCCACCTAAGAACTTTGTATTATTTAAAACCATTTATCTTAAGCGAGTTTCTTTTTAAAACGTAGTTGACGGTTTGTGAGCTGGTTAGAAGAGCATGGGTTTGGTTCCTGACTTCTCGCTGCACTCCAGCCTTTGCATGGATTTGTTCATTTCCATCAGCAGCAACTGATTTAATTTAATAATAACTACGAATAATACTTGGCTCTCAGGAGGAAAAATTTCAAAAAGGTTAAACAAACATTTTAACATACATAAAATCACTACATATTGTATTAATTATTTGTGTTTACTCTAATATTAGTGTTTTTCTGGGCCAATAAACACTTCTTGCCCAGATAAATGGCTTTTTAAACACAATTTTATCAGGAGCCTCAAACTTGCATAGCTCTTTAGAATCTCATATAAGCAGTAAATATGGCACTGAAAGGTTAAGTACACAAATAATTGATCAATTAATTCTTAACTACAATAAGGTAACTGGATATGAGTGACGGTTTCTTATTTTATGTGTAAATGAATGTAAATGAGTTTCATTCCAAAATACTGTATCACCCTTTGTTACAATTTTGGATACAGCAAGTTTTTGAAACAACTGACTTATAATCATCATCATCATCATCATCATCATCATCATCATCGTCGTTAACCGCTTAGTCCAGCTAGGGTCACGGTTGACTTATAATGGAAATCACAATTTTATTTCTTATAGTATCGATATTTCTTATGTGTGTAAAGCTCACTCCCAACAACGTATATCATGGAAAAAAACCCCAGAAATTCTTGAAAGTGATCTATAATGCATTTTGGAACAAAATCCTTCCAATGTTATTGTGTTCTACATTATTCATACATAATAGTAATAATAATAATAATAGTAATAATAATAATAATAGTAATAATAATAATAATAAATAATAATAATAAAAGACACTGTGCAGCACACTGTGAGTTTGTGACTCACTGCAGAGGGATCTACGTTGGCCATAACCATGAAGACTCCTGCATGCTCTGCGCTACTGATCCACATCTTTGAGCCATTGATAATGAAATAATCTTTATACTTCTCTGCTTTGGTCTTCAGAGAGAAGGCATCACTCCCTGACCCCGCCTCCGACAGGCAAAAACTACCAATCTGCAGAGTGGGACACAAAAAGAAAAGGAAAGGAAATAAGTAAAACTGAAAGTCTAAATGTTCAGTGTACTGATATATAATTGAAACTGTGCTGTCTGCTGACTCAATTTCTTCATTATTGTAATGACAGTTTGAATTCTTTTTTTCTTTTGTGGTGGGAACATTATATACATATAGGCAGTCAGAGATGGCAAAGAGCTCCTTGTCGGCATGGCCCCCTGCAACAGAAACTGGCTCTTGGAACATGGAACGTAACCTCAATGTGGGGAGGGAGCCAGAGCTTGTGCGGGAGATTGAGAGGTACCAACTAGATACAGTTGGGCTCACCTCTACTCACAGTGTCGGCTCAGGAACCAAATTCCTTGACAGGGGTTGGTCCCTGTCCTACTCAGGAGTTGCACAGGGTGAGAGACGCCGGGCAGGTGTGGGGATACTCACAAGTCCCCGGCTGGCTGCTGTGCAGTTGGAGTTTGTCCCGGTGGACGAGAGAGTCGCCTCAATGCGAATTAAAATCACAGGGAGAAAAACACTGACTGTTGTGTGAGAGTATTCGGCCTTCATTGCGCAAGTGGGTGGGCTTCTGGAAAGGGCGCTACCTATGCACTCCACAGTCTTGCTGGAAGACTTCAATGCTCATGTTGGCAATGACTGGGAAACCTGGATGGGGGGTGATCGGAAAGAATGGCCCACCCGATCTAAACCTGAATGATGAATTGTTATTGGACTTCTGTGCTAATCATGGATTGTTCATAACAAAACACCAAGTTCAGACACAAGAATGTTCATAAGTGTACTTGGTACCAAAGCTCCTTGGGTCAAAGGTCAATGATCTACTTTGTTGTCATTTCATTTGCCTTGGGACCGCATGTTCTGGACACTCAGGTGAAGAGAGATGCTGAGCTGTCAACCGATCACCATCTGGTGGTGAGTTGGATCAGAAGGCAGGGAAGACTGGCGGTCAGACCTGGTAGACCCAAGTAAATAGTTTGGAATGATTTTAACTTCCGTCTCCCGGAGAACTTTTCTCATGTTCCTGGAAGAGGTTTGGGGTACATGGAGTCCAAATTGACCCTTTTCAAAACCTCCACTGTGGAAGCTGCCAGGCATAGCTGTGGCCAAAAGCTTGTTGGTGCCTGTCAGGGTGACAACCTAAAAACCCCCTCATGGACAACAGCGGTGAAGGAGGCCGTCAAGCTGAAGAAGGAGGCCTTTAGGAACTGGCTGGCCCAGAGGACTCCCAACTCATCAGATAGGTACTGACAGGCAAAAAAGACAGCAGCAGTGGTGGTGACTGAAATAAAATCCAGAACATGGAGTTTAGAAAGGGCCCTGAAAAAAGACTTTTGGTTGGCTTCAAGGAAAGGACTTCAAATGAGGATACTGTCAGTCAGTGGAAGGCACTCTTTGAGGAATTTCTAAACCCGAGGGACATGCCTCCCTCACAGGAGTCAGGGCCAGAGGCTTCTGGGGTGTTGGACTCCATTTCCCTGGTGGAGATCACTGAGGTAGCTGGCAAGCTCTACGGTGGCAAGGCACTGGGGGTGGATACGATCTGCCCAGAAATGCTTAAGGCTTTGGATGTTGTGGGGCTGTCATAGCTGAAACACCTCTGCAATATCACGTGGGCCTGGGGAACAGTACCCTTGGACTGGTAGACCGGGGTGGTGGTCCCTATTTTTAAGAAAGGAGACCATATAGTGTGTGCCAGTTGCTAGGGTATCACACTGCTCAGACACCCTGGGAAAGTTTATGCCAAGGTGCTGGATAGGAGACTCCGAACAATAATCACACCTCGGACTGAGGAGCAGCAATGCAGATTCCATCCCAGCTGTGGAACAATAGGAAGAGGGATCGTGAGATTGGCCATAGGCTGGGACAGGCGGCACCAGTAATGCGGTTGCTGTACCGGACTGTGGTGGTGAAGAGGGAGCTGAGCCATAGGGCAAAGCTCTCTGTCTACCGGTCAGTCTACATCCCAAACCTCACTTATGGTCATGAGCTTTGGGTAATGAGATTGCGGATACAAGTGGCAGAAATGAGGGTAACTAGCTACACTCTATTTGATAGGGTGAGGAGCTCAAAGTAGGGCCAGTACTCGTCCACATTGAGAGGAGCCAGTTGAGGTGGTTCAGGCATCTGATTAAGATGCATCTTGGCCGCCTCTTGATGGAGGTTTACCAGGCACGGCCTACTGAGACGAGACCCCGAGGTTGTCCTAGAACCCGCTGGAGGGCTCAGGGTCCCCCAGAATGAGCTGGCGGAAGTTGCGGGGGGACAAGGTCGTCTGGGATTCTCTGCTTTCCTTACTGCTACCACAACCCTAGCTGGACCAAGCGGTTTAAGATGGCGATGATAAAGACATTAAATTCAGTTTTACATATATGTGTTTATCCTTGCACAAAAGAGATAATATGAGCTTTCCATATGAGTTTTCAAACATAACTGTTGTTATGTTTCAATTATATGCTATTTGTAGTTATTAAAAAATATTTTAGTGCATTTCAGCACTTTAGGAAGTTGGCCTGGGATGTTTGGGGAATTTATTAATTTTAGCCAATTCTTCTTGTCATAAGCACATAAAGCACATAAGCACATCTTCTTGCTTTATTTCTAAAAGTTGGGTATGGCCAAAACTTATCATCAAATTAGAACTTAGAATTTGTAGCTCACTAGTAGGATGAACTGTGCAGTGCAGGCGTGGGGGGTCTAGGTTATGTCTCACCAAGTCTGTGGTGAAACGTGGCAGGTACTTCTCCTTCTGCTCCTCCGTGCCCAGGCTGGACATCAGCCTGTTGATCAGTAAGTTCTGGAGGTCGCACACCAAGGCCACTGACGGGTCCACCTTTGACAGCTCCTCAGTCACCAGCACAGAGGAGAAGAAGGAGGAGCCAGTGCCTCCATATTCTGTACTTACTTCAATGCCCATCAACTGCAACAGACACAGTAGCAGACATCTTAAAGGATGCATCACCTAACTGTGGTCATACACCACCACCCACAGCACTGTTGTCTGGAGCAAAAAGTGAATTTTCACAGCATTTCAGGAATGGACAAAAAGTTAAAAAGCTTTAATAACATCACACTTTACAGAAGTGTTAACACAAAAATCTGTTCAGTCACATGACTACTAATCACAAATCTTGTATTCTCTCATATAACAAAGTATAATCAATAGGAAATAGTACACTAGAGAAAACAAAAATAAATATGCAGATATGAATAAAGTTTGAAATTAATAATCAGTACCCTAAACTACTTTCTAGTATCACTTTAAAGGGCGCATATCCTACATTTTTACCCATTTTGTTTTTTGATTCCATGTATGTTTGGTTCCATGTTTGGTTCTATGTCACAGAAAAACTACAGGTAATAAAATATATAATTTATATTAACATAATTTATAATGACCATTTTCTAACCTCTCTTGGTCCCTTAGAATTATTTAGGTTTTTTCCGTTACTGTGTTATTAAGACTGATTTATGTTACTGAGCTCTGTTCTGACTGGCTGCCCTGTACTGTGCCTCGTTCAACAAGCAGTCTGGACTGAAACACTCCTTATAACTTCAGCATTAATGGGTGGAGCTAAGCTGATGTAGGCTGGATAGGCAGATGCGTGTTGGTCTTCATGACATCACAAAAATAATAAATTAAAAATGGGCTGTTTTTGCAGCTTCATATATGGACTGTGTAGACAGGGGAGTGAACAGTGTGTTTTAAAACTTTAATAAGGGTTAGTTTACTGTACCAAATTCTCTTGTTTGGGAAAAGTGAGGACACCAGTTTTCTATGATATGGGCCCTTTAAATTAAAGTCAGCTTTGCAGCTAGTGCACAGTGTAGTGCAATTTTTGATTGTATGACAAAGAGAGGTACAGACCCCCTGCTCAAAGAGAGATCTGATCACTTCTTCATCCATGGAAGCATTTTGATCCATCTTGGATACGAACGGAGCGACGCACTCCTGAGCATATTTCCTCACTGTGGAAAGAAACAGTGATGGTTACTAGGAGTGGGAAAAACTGCAGGCCCCACAGTATGATATCATTACAATACTTGAGTCAGGATACAGTTATCCTGAAATTTTTAAAGATTTGTTATCTGCTGAGTATGTAATATATTTACATTTACTATTTATAACTGCAAATTCAAAAGAAAGATAAATTTATACTTTGTTCTTCTCACTTTCTTACTGAAGCACAACAGAACTGTGAAGTAAACAATTCTTTGCAGATGCTTTTATTTGCTAAATAGATCAATCAAAGTTAAAAAAAGGCTGATTATAACATATTACAATTATACTATAACATATTATAACATATTTTAGGGGAAGTCGAGGGCTGGAGGTTAGGGAACCAGCCTTGTGACTGGAGGATCAACTGTTTCATCCCCTGAGCAGACAGTATGTGACTGAAGTGCCCTTGAGCACCTAACCCTCAAGTGTTCCCCGACGCTGTGGGCAGGGCTGCCCACCGCTCCGGGCAAGTGTGCTCACTGCCCCCTAGTGTGTATGTGGGTGTTTCACTGCACAGGTGGGTTAAATGTGGAGGTGAAATTTCCCTGTTGTGGGACTAATAAGGGTCACTTAACTTAAACTGTAATATTCAATTTATGGTATACTAGTAGGTGAATGTAGCTATCCACTGCGCTATCCAGCTGTCCCTAATTGAAATGTCCCTAAAATGAAAATTCCTGGTTGAAACCAAAATTCACTCATCAGGCACAAAACTGAAGAACAAAAGAAGATATATTTTTGTAATTATTTGTGCTTTTTTAAGAAACACACTAAACATACAAACTACAAGATAATAAAGAAATTTTTTTTTTTGACAAAACTGAATTGACAAATAAATAAAATTATTACAGTATGTAGGCTTCAGAATGTACCTGTGAAATGTCCAGCATTCTCAACAACAGAGAACAGTTGGTCATTTAAGGCAATGAATTCCATTTTTTTAGTTATTGTTTGCACTTTAACTTCCATACTTGTGAACTATGAAAATAACAAATGCTGGTATCCTATTAGCCTAACAGTGAGGTTAATACTAGAGATTGGAATTAGATAAGATCTAAATCAGTGGACTTTTGCTCCAATCAGAAACAATTTTATTTTGTGTATTATTGTATGAAAGTTTTTTATGATTTCAAGTGTAATATTGCACCAAAAACGCTTTGCAATGTGGGCTGTGATTCGGACCCCTTCATCAGATGAATCTGATGATTGTGAGCTCATTGAAAGAGAATTCAAAGGGAACTCAGTCTAAACTTGGTGAAGGAGTGTCTTCTAAAGATGTGAGTGAATTATCTACCATTATCATCACATCTTCCTCAGTATAATGTTGATTTTGCATTTAAGACAAATATTTGAGCTGGACCTTCTTTTTCTCTGTGTGATAATATGTGAAGATGCATGACTTGGTCTGAAAAACTCCTGACCCGAAGGCTGTGACCTTAAAATAAATGTTTCAGGCTTTGCAGGGTGACTCGCAGCAGTGCACGCTCACCATATTTTAGTCTGTTTTTATTCTCCTGACTCAGTAATGCTAATTCTCTCAATTTTAACAAGCAATCTTACACAGTGCAGCTTTAAATAATAAATGTCCATCCTTAACTTGACTCATTATTTCCCAAAGTAGCAATACTTGGTCTACCGTACCCACTTCTGTGTATAGTCCAAGTAAGTCAAACTCACCCGTCTCCCTCATCATGGCCTCCTCCTCTGTGAAGGTCTGGAGTGGAGGGAACCCAGCGCCTGCGCGAGCCGTCTGCTCCCCGCCTACCATGTGTGATGACATGGGCCGCAGAGCAGCCTGGCACGAAGCCCATGGCCGGGACAACCTCCCGCCAACCTATAGACATTACACACTTCACACTTTTATACATGCTGTCATTACACACATATACAGTACTGTGCAAAAGCCAAGTAATCAAACACATTCACTCTCTCTCAAAGATGAGAGTTTTAAGTGCAGTTTTGGTGTCTACCAGGTCTTCCAGGTGGTTGTTAGGAGTCCTTTTTGGCATCAGATTCAGTTGCCCCTCAAATTCCCATTCACTTCTGCGAGCAAAAATCAATGCCAAGCAACACTGGAACTACGGAAAGCCAAAAGGTTCAAAAACAGATTTTACGAGCGTCCTTAACGTGCCTCTGGCTACCTCCTCATCTGGTTGCGACATCTGTGCCCCGCTCTACCAGAAACCATGGTAACGTTAGGCTTATTTTCACGCTAATAACTTATGAATGGACTATGGTAGCAAGTAAAGACTGTATTTTATTCATAACAGTACGGCCACAGAGAGCGATGCATACCTTTTCTTTTCGCAGTTTGGGTGATTCAATATTCCCCTCTTTTCATGTTAATACAGAAAAACTGAGACCACATTTCCAATCGGAATACAATGCATGCATTCCTAGACCTATCTTTGTTTTCCTTCTAATCGTTTTAGTGCATTTAATTACATATTTTATTATTCCACTTAACAATAGATGTTGTCTTAGAAAAAAGTTTGTAGATTGTGTTGTTCACTTTGAGCTATGGGGAGAATTGCACACCACTTACATTTTGAAATAGAACCTTTAATTAACTGGTACCCGACAAACGTACCTGCCAGTAATTATTCTAACAAGAGTGAACATATTTTACGCTCTCAGAAATCAAGGTACTAAACTGTCAGTGGGGCAATACCCCTCATGTCACTGGGATGGAACCCTCAAGGGTACATTTCAGTACCTTTAGTCAGGAAACAGTACCATAATCCAAGCCATAAAGTTGTATGGAGTCCACACACCCCGTCTTGTCTCCAGGCTTTTTATTTCATTGTTCTGTTTTAAAACCTTTGGTTATGAAAATGTACAAATACATACTTTTCACCTGGAAAAACTTATTTAAGGTTCAAAAATTGGACCTTAAGACCACTGTTGTACCTTTAAGGGAACGTTTACAATCCCATTTCCAAAAAAGTTGGGATGCTGTGCAGAATGTAAATAAAAACAGAATGCAATGATATGCAAATCATGTAAACCATATTTTTAAAGGAAAAATACTACAAAAACAACATATCAGATGTTGAAACTGAGAAATTTGATAGTTTCTTTTCAAAAATATATGCCCATTTTGTATTTGATGCCAACAACATTTTCCAAAAAAGTTGGGACGGGGGCCTGTTTACCACTGTGTTTTATCACTTCTTCTTTAACAACACTCTGTAAGCGTTTGGGAACTGAGGAGACACTGCTGTGGTTTTAAAGTGAAATGTTTTCCTGTTCTTACTTAACACAGGATTTCAGCTGCTCATCAGTTCAGCTGCTCATCAGTTGTCAAATTTTCATTTCATAATGCACCCAATGTTTTCAGTGGTGACAGGTCTGGACTGCAGGCAGGTCAGTTTAGCACCCGGACTCTTTTAATACGGAGCAATGCTGCTGTAATACATGCTGAATGTGGTTTGTGGTTCTTTCTGAAAAAAGCAAGACCTTCCCTGAAAAAGACGTCGTCTGGATGGCAGCATATGTTGCCAAAACATGTACATATCGTTCAGCATTAATGGTGCCTTCACAGATGTGCACGTCACCCATGCCATGTGCACTAATGCTCCCCTATACCATCATGAATACTGGCTTTTGAACTGTGCACTGATAACAAGCTGAGTGGTCTTCAGCCCAGAGGACACAGTGTCCATGATTTCCAAAAAGAATTTTAAATTTTGATTCATCGGACCACAGGACACTTTTCCACTTCTCCTCAGTCCATTTTAAATGAGGTGGTAGTATTGCTGGATCCTGTTTATATTTGGTTGCTTCTTTGTGTTTTAGAGTTTTAACTTGTGTTTGTGGATGCAGTAATGAATGACAGTGGTTTTCAGAAGTGTTTCTGAGCCCATGCAGTGATTTTCACTACAGAATCATGTCTGTTTTTTATGCAGTGCTGCCTGAGGGCCCAAAGATCACAGCCAGCAAATACTGGTTTTTGTCCCTTTCATACAGAGATTTCTCCAGAGTCTTTTAATGATATTATGAACCGTAGATGATGAAAAGCAAAAGTTCTTTGCTATTTTATGTTGAGAAATGTTATTCTTGAATTGTTGTACTATTTGATGGTGCAGTCTTTCACAGAGTGGTGAACCCCTCCTCATCTTTACTTCTGAAAGACTCCGCCTCTCTGAGATGCTCTTTTATACCCAATGATGTTATTCAAAATGGGCATATATTTTTTAAAAAACAATAAAATTTATTAGTTTTGACATTTGATATGTTGTCTTTGTACTATTTTCAACGAAATATAGGGTTTAAATGATTTGCATATCATTGTGTTTTGTTTTTATTTACATTTTGCACAGCGTCCCAACTTTTTTGGATATGGGGTTGCACATTGTTTGTACCTTGATGAATGGACAATGTGCCCGCGCAGTACCTTTATTAACAGTGTATACTGATATATACTTTATATGATATATACATACATCAAACTGAGAAATTTGAGTACTGGGCTAAAATCCAGCTCTCTTTAGCAGATTTCTTAATCAGATTTCTAGACAATATGCTGTTTACATGGCCATTTGAATAATCAGATAACTGGAGATTATGATAGGATTAATGATTGCATGTAAAACTGTGAGCCAGTTTGTGTGAGCCAAAACATATACCAATGACAAAACTGGCAGCAGGACTGGAGATTCACCTGCATGGGTGGCACAAGTACAGACTTCCAGAATAGACTTCCAGCACAGCACTATGTAAGAGCTGAGTGAGCATACAGGATTCAATGATGTAAGGCTGTAACTGCGAAAGCCTTTTAAGTTTACTTTTAATTTAGTCTGGTTTCAACAGGTTTTCAGACAAATTCGCTTTGTGTCATCACTGTTGTTTTTTTTTTCCTTTGAGATTTGTTGTTTTACTCATTTTATTATTATGGTATATGTGTTATGTAATATAACGTCAATAAAGCATGTTCCTGAAGTCCTGTAAAATATGTTTCAAAACTGCAAATATGCTTGTAGATATCGGATACTAAAAAGCTGTACTGAGTTGTTTACTTTGTTAACAAACAACTGAAGTTTTACTGCAGGATGTCCAGTCTTATCTGCAAAGTGCCGGAGTGGCTGTAGGTTCTCATTCCAACACAGCAGGAGCTCACACGATCAACTGTTTAACCACTGAGACCAGCTGATTTTATGAGGAGAGTCCGGTGGGCTACGGTTTGTTTGGAATGAAAACCTACAGCCACACCAGCACTTTGTGGATAAATTTGAATACCCGTGTTTTATAGCTGTGCTAAACGTCACAGCAGTTTGAGAAATTGGGCTGCATATTGACCAGTGCACCTGCACTCCACTTTCACATCCTACTCTCTGTGCTTCTTTTAGCAATTTGTTTTTTCTCTTCCTTACAAGTCTCTTTTTTCTTGGAATGCTAAATTCTGAAGGAATTACTTTTACATTTACATTTTACATTTAAATATTTATATGAAATTGAGTTTACGTGTTAAAGAGAGAGAGACAGAAAGAGAGAACGAGAAAGACAGAAAGAGAGAGAGAGACAGAAAGAGAGAGAAAGAGAGAAAGACAGAAAGACAGGGAGAGAGAGAGAGAGAGAGAGAGAGAGAGAGAGAGAGAGAGAGAGACTTTTAACCCCCTTTTATTGAAGCATTAATAATTAAAGGATGTTACATCCTAATAGTTATATTAATAATAATGAGGATCCCCAAAGAAAAACCACCCATCCACAAAGATTCACCAATGAAATGATATCACACCCAGATCACTGACAGATACAACACTTTCACCAGCACACCACTTTTCCTCAAACCAGGAAATGTTCTGAGTACTTTGATAAAAAACAAATTCAACTCTAATGCGCGACTCTACCAGAGCTCGGAACAGTTTCAGAACATCCACCTCCTGCCCTTCAGACACCAACCTGAAGGACTTCCACACTGATAATTTAGCCTGTCCCACTAAAAAATTAGTCAAGGTACATTTAGAACGCTGAGCTTTAGAGTATTTACAGCCAAACATAAACAGAGTCCGGGTGAACAGAAACCCCAGCCCTCTGAGCGCCCTGTCCAGGAGCTCCAACAGAAACACCAGACCTCTGAACGCCCTGTCCAGGAGCTCCAACAGAAACACCAGACCTCTGAACGCCCTGTCCAGGAGCTCCAACAGAAACACCAGACCTCTGAGCGCCCTGTCCAGGAGCTCGAACAGAGGAATCAGTCTTTGACAGTCGGAAAATGCATGAAAAACAGTATCAAGATTATTACAGAAAATGCAAAGTGCTTGAACAGCACAGTGAAGGATCCTCCACTGGAGGTCTCCTGAACGTTTGGGCAAGGGGCTTTTGTACAGGAGAGAAAATGACAGAGAAGAGAGAGAGAGAGAGAGAGAGAGAGAGAGAGAGAGAGAGAGAGACAGAAAGAGAGAGAAAGAGAAAGACAGAGAGAGAAAAAAGACAGAAAGAGAGACAGACAGAAAGAGAGAGAGACAGAAAGAGAGAGTGAGACAGAAAGAGAGAGTGAGACAGAAAGAAAGAGAGAGAGAGAGAGAGAAAGACAGAAAGAGAGAGAAAGACTTTTTTTTGACTTTTAACAACACTTTATTGTAACCACATGAGGTTTCATTCTCATAACAGGCTTGTACTTTCAACAGCCTCCCAGGTAAAATCTCATCAACTGTGTACGAGTGAGGAATAAAATTATTCGAAAATAAAACACCAACTCCACCACTAACAGTGGAGTTATGACTTAAAATGACCAGCCCGTTCCCACTCTTTAGCCCAATCTACAGCGTTATCACCATCACTGTGTGTCTCCTGGAGAAAGAACACATCAGCGCGCTTCTGTTTCGCCAGCTC